ATTTAGAAGCAGAAGACTGACAAACTGAAGAGGCCTTTCATTTTATCTGCGTATTTTTCTGTGATGAGAGAGATTTTCTAGGTGAATTAAATCTTTTGATATTTATTTTTTGTATAAATTTTGATCTAGAAGATTAGATCATCTTCCAGTCAGATCCCAAAAGAAATTTCCAATATAAAACCTCTTGCCAAGAAAAAGGCGTGACACGATGGAGACAAAACAGCAAGTACTTCCTAAGCATTCCATTCAGCAGTTTGCTCAATTAAGTTTAACAGTCAGGGTCCTAGTAAATTCGGGAAATTAGAATAGACTTTACTGTAATACATAAGAAAGTTCTCCTATCTCGACTATTTATTATATCATTTGAATGTAAACCAGTTTTGTAGTTATTTCATATTAAAAGAAATTATTCTTTCTCACATGTATAAAATACATTCCCAAAGATTGCTAAGCAAAGAGAAATGTACACATTTGTCTAAGTAGCTGAGACAGCTTTGGGAAAATGGGAATTTTTCTTAGTTCTCCTGTTACAGAATTTTGCTTTCTATTCTTGATGCATAAACAAACATCAAACATTTCTATTCTTGGTGAGTTGCTGGGTCTGAAAGAGATAACATCTTCTTATTTGTGAGTCAAGTTTGGTTTGGAAACAGTGAGAGACCATAGTATGGGACGTTGTGTTACTGATTACAAGTGATTAGTTTTCAGAGACAGGCTATTTTTTACAGGTGCTTTGTCAATAACTACTTTTGAGTTACACCCATCAAAATCCTTTCTGTTTAACTTGTTTCAATTTTAATCTTGTGTGGATTCATAGTAAATTACCTACTGAATAATTTAAGCCATTTTTGGTTTGACAACAGTCTCATTGCAGCATGTTTATTGCTGTGAGGATTATTGTACCATCAGTTTACGGATGCATGTGTGATTGCAAGCACACTTTCACATGTCATTAATACCAGCACCAGAATGAAGTGCTGTGTGGACTTTTCCTCTGGGAAGTATTCTGTTGATTCATCATCCCCTTGCTAAGTTCAAGGTGATATAAGTAATCATACATTTAGGGGCAAACTCATTTCATCCGACTTTTATGCTTACAGTTTATTCTCAGCAGCAGCTTTTTGTAGTCTGTTTGAAGGCTAAAGCTGAAACTTCTGAATTAGCTGCAGTCTTTCAAAATGCACATAATTTACTAGAAGGTCAAGCAGTCAATGCTATTAAGTGTTTTAGAGTACCAGACTCATTCAAAACCAGGGCCTCTTATCTCTTTCACAGTCAAGCTCTAGAAATGACTATTCAAGAATGGGAAATTTCCCTTTCTCCCTTGTTTCAGTTCAGCTAGCGTTACTGGGCGTTTCTGATAGACCGCATAAAGCCTTCACATGGTATAACCTCCTGGGGAGGTGTGCACATCGGTGCATTGTGCAGTCTGATTTGTCCCTACTCTGCCAGAGTTGTTTTGGCTAACCGACTCTTTGTGGTAATAGAGTTATGGGGAGTAAACATCGCAGGGATAGTGGAGTTTCGCTTGCAAACTCTGAACTAACAGCTGCTTGTACGCTAAGCCCCTGAGAGCAAGATGCTGTGAGTACCTGGAAACAAGGTTATTCAACCCTACCAGCTGCAGCCCTGCCATTGTTCAGTCCTTTTATGTGTTCTCTTCAGATCACTTTTCAGAGTTCTCTTTTACACTCTTCTGGAATATCCATCGCTTATGAATATTCCTTATTTTCTTACTTTAAACAGGCTTCTTCCCTGCTCAACTGTAAGCCTTTCCACCCTGTATGCAAACTGTCTGCCTGTCTCACCATGGCTTATACTAAGAATGCTACTCCCAGTCTCTGCTTGTTTCCTCCTGGGCCAGGTTCTCCTTGACTCTGATATCAGTCAATGTCAAATGGATTTTAAAGCCCTCAGTTGGCTCAGTTTTCTACTGAAGGGGATTATAAAGCTCAGAAGTGAACCAGTAGATTCATTACTAGATCCAGTACCCTGACAATCCATCCCACTGAGGCAGATTGTACTCCTTGCTCAGCAGTTCTTCAGGAACGGCGACTGTCAGGGCAAACAAAAGTGTTTTCCTGCAATATTCATTCTGCTGATGAAATTTCTATGAGGTGATGCTTCTACATAGCTGGGAAGAGTATTACATTCCAAATAGGTTTTTATAAAAAAGACCTTTAGAGGTCCTTTGAAGCAAAACTGAGAATATAATTTTAATGGGCATCGAAAATTTTTGAAATACATATTTTTATAGGCTTCAAAGGTGTATTGTCATGAAGGGTTTTCCCAGTCTGTTTCCTATATATAGATTTACCAGAGGACTTTTTTTGACTAATATAGAATATATTTTATAATAAATACAAAAATTCAGTATTTGTAATGTGACTGATGTTTCTACAAAAGCTAATTAAATATAAATACATTGTCTATAAAATATGAAGAGGTCATTATACAGAATCCTGGTAGTTTGTCTGTGTGGTTTTCAGTATCTCATCTACAGAATCTGCCTTTTCTTAGTGCCTTTTGATAGGGCTTTTGCCTTGTTGAGTCCTGATACTCTGAACATAGGAAGAGATTCTTATTAAATACCAATTTCTTGTTAGGATGATGGAAGTCACAGATTATTTGCAAGACAGGACGTACAGAAAATCATGGAAAATGACCTGTGTATAGGAACCTAATGACAGAACTGTTTGGATCTTTAAAACAGTAGAATACTGAAAAGAATTCATTTGCCATCATGATAAGGAAAACTGTTATTTTCATTTCATTTTTGTTCTTCATATTTGAACCACACAAAGCAGGTAATACACTGAGGTTTCTGAAGACCAACATTTGTTCCTTTCTGTATAGTAATTCCTTTAGCTATAAAATACAGCCCCACAAGTAACGTCCTAGACAAGACTTAGAGGTTACAAGGTGACTGTAACTTTTTACAGTTACCAGCCAGTTCCATTTGTAGTTCAGGTAAAGTGTTCAAGCAAACTCTCAACTTTTTTTTTTTTAATTCTATTCAATGAAGGGAATTCTTTATAAGAGTGTAGGCTGTAGCAAATGCAGAACTTAATCCATAATGATTTTCTTCTTCCACAAAAAATACATGGAAGCCATAGTCTTTGTGTTCTATCATTTGATGTCTCAGCAACTACAATATATCTTGAAGCACTCTAAAAATTTGGAGATATTTTGTTGCAAACTTTCATGTTTTTCAGGCTTCTTTTTGAAATATTGCAATGGGTAACTTGGCCATCTTATTTGCATCTGATGCAAGGCAAAGCATTTGAAAGGAAGGATTTTTCTCCCACTAAACATTTTTGAAAAAGTTCCTAGAGAGTTGAGTGGGGGAGATAGCTGGATGGAACAGAGCTGAGGAAGTTTAAGGTTGCTAGTGAAGGTCCTCTCCTTCCCTGTCCAGCCACATCTCTTTGGATAGAAGTAGCAACTGTGGGAGCTACTGCAAGTGGAGCAGAGGTACATCTCCCACAGTTTCAGCACTATGCTCCAAAATTATCATCCTGTAATTGCAAATGGATCTGAAATGTAGAATTATTAAACACAATTTTATTGCTTTTCATCTAGATCTCCAGATCCAATTTTCAAGTTGCGATTAATCTTCAGAATTCCCTACTGTCAGTAATTAAAAAGAAACTTTATATCCATGTAATACATGGACAGGAGTGATTTTCTACTTTTAGGCTATTTATGAGCCTTAACAAGACTACTTAATAAAACTACTTGTGAGCCTTAACAAGAGTAAAAATTTTATTTAACAACTTCCCAAGAAATAAAGCGTTGGTTTAAACACGTCTCACCACATGCATCTTTGCTCTTGAGGGGAACCTCTCGACTCCGCTGAGATGATGAAGGTTGTGACAATGTTTATATGTTTGCCAGGACCGGTGTTTCCTTGAGTTTCTAGAAATAAAAAGTGGTTTATAGCACTGGAAGTGGGTAAAATAAATGTCAATAAAGGGGAAGTATGACAAGAAGCTGCCCTAGATCTAACTGTAACCGTCACTACCGTGTAACACAACCGTGTTACACAACTTTTATGTAACTCTTGGCTCTACTGTCTAATAAAAATTATCCTCAAAGCCTTATTTTAATTTTATAAGCTGTGCATGTGCATAATACACAATGTACTTTTATTCATATGCCAAAGATCTGCAGCCAAATTATTTACTGTCAGCATAAGTCTCTTTTAATAATTTAAGCCCTTAATCTTCTATAGTATTTTCTCTTGCACACACTCTTATGTCTCACTGGCTTTGCAGTTGTCTGGGAATTGCTATTCATGCATTATGATTTCAACACAAAAATGCTATTTCTTTACGAGAATAGTTACTTCTTTAATAGTCAAAGCGTAATCTATAGTTATAGTCTGATGGAAAGAATTTTAGTTGATTTGTAATTTTTAAGAGAGAATGTGTCATTCCTCTGTTCTCCTGCTTGAGTTTTTGGAAATTAGGGTGGAGATAAGGAGCATTATTACAATGAAAGATTTTACGTCATTAAGATTTATCAATTTAATCAGGCATATACACCATCTACTTTATCCAGGTTATCAAATCTCTTGCCCCATAATCTCTTATTTTTAACTAAGCAATGTGGGAGTTTGGAGGACTGAGGAGTTTCAGATCCGTATGTCTTTGCCAGCATTGGAAGAGAAGGACATGTGCAATAGAACTATCAACAGAACCTCAGTGAGGTTTTTCCCGTTAGCTTTCAGCCCGTATGTCTCCTCCCATGGTTTCCTACATAAACTAAGGCTTTCTGGGAGGATACTCCAGCTATTAAGGAAATAAGTTTAAAATAATTTGAAAAAGACCTGGTAAGGATCTTCGAACCATTAAATATGGAAGAACATTTCAAAGGTATTTGATATTTTGTATGCGACTTATGTTGATTTCATTGATCACTGTCACTGAAAATGAAATGCTGTTATAATTTGCATTATTCTTTAGTTACTAGAGGTTTTTTTTTTTTCTTTACTGCAGGTTTAAGATTTTTAAGAGCCCTTAGACTGATACAGTTTTCAGAAATTTTGCAGTTTCTGAATATCCTTAAAACAAGGTAAGACCTTTTCTTACATACTGAGTTAGTTGCATTGGTGACAGAAAATAAATGTCTGAGGTTTGTGGTCCTAGTAATATATGATTTTTCTCTTCTGGAAGAAAAACACTTGTTATCTGTTCTTTAAACCTTTTTCTGCTGATGAATGATTTATCTGTGTCGGCATCTTTTGACATGTGATCAGTAGAAGATTTTGCTTGATGTGTTGTTACATTTAAAATATCTGAGCAAGACTGAGTGCTGATAAATTAAAAGCAGAATGGATTACAGAGATCTGCACTGATTAAATACTGCTTCTTTCCACATAATCAGTCTATATTCTGCTGCCTTGGAAAAACAGAAAGTGCAATTCATTCAGCAGAGTAGAGCTAAAAAGTATTTTGAGAAATAATCATTGTGGGTCTATTTCAGTATTTTTGAACTGAGCATCCTTCTTCACATCAAAAACATACTAAAAATTAATTTTACAATCAGCTATCTTTATATTATATTCATTGTACTTAGCATTTCTTTCAAAGAATATTTAAAATATTCCAAGTAACCTTTTGGCTTTCACTGATTCTTCAGGCTATTAGTACATGAAAGTTGTGCAGAAGAAGCACAACTTTGAACAAAAGATTACTTTGAAGGGGAAAAAAAAAGGAACCTTCCTATGCCTCGCAGTTGAAGACGCATTGCCTTTCATCATTCCCTAAAATGCCCCGGCTGAAGTATTAAACCCAGCTTCCAATAATTCCTGTAAACTCAGTTCCATTCTGAAATCCTGTGCTCTCTCCACCAGCTGATGATGCATGTCTAAAGGCTTTATATGCAAGTGGCTCCATTTATTTGCTATGTTAATGAGTAGTGTTGGGGAAATAGATCCTTGAGATTTGTACACACTCATGGTAAACAGCTGTTTCTTCAACCCTTAACCTTGAAACTATTCTCTTTGCTGTAAATCTCTCACACTATCTGTCTTTAGCCACGTGACTGTAAGGAATCCAGCTCTTTTCAAACAAAGAAATTGAAGAACCTGCAGTGAAAATGTGTTCCAATAGCTTAGAATGCTACCAGTGTGGTAGAGAAGAGTAATTTGTGCAGGAGCTCAGAATATCAAATGAGTTTGCGTTTAACACATAGAACAACCTCACCAAAAGAAATGGCAGTCAATGGAAACGCCCCGTAAACTCAAAGGATTTTGGATAAAGGCTAAAAAGCCCCTTCAGGAGTGGGTGGATTTGTAAACTTCCAGATCCATAAATGAAGGGTTACTGCATTAATCACATTCAGTGTATTTAGAGCTGGCTTATTCAAGATTGACCAGTTCGTTTAAATAGCATTCCTCTGGTGCAAAGTTTACTCTTAGATTAGAGATCATCATCTCTGTGATTACTCATATGAATGTCCAAATATCTGTAAAACCCAAATGTTGACTATTAGAAAGCCTGTAAAGCAGACCTTCTTTATATAACTGTTTTTGACTAGAGGCATTTCAGCGTTCTTGGTATTAATGACAAGTAACTACTGACAAGATGAGAAACTGATAGGGTGTAAAGGACACTGCTGTGTTCTTAGTATTTGATGGAATTAGAGAAGAAATTCTGTCCTTCTTTTCCTCTTTCCCCCACTAAGGAAAAAGATTTACTCTAACCTGTAAATTAAAATTACTCCTGGCATTGGTGGCTGAGATATGAGGGTTAAAGGAGCATATAGTATTTACACAATGGGCAGAAGGACCATTCCAAACACTGGAATCCAAAGGAAGAAGCTAAAAAAGTGCAAAAATAGAGGCAGTAAGAGGACTAGCAAAGTAGTGTGGGAGTGCTAGATAAGTATTAGAATATCTGAAAAATTATTAATTATATTTGAAAAGAACCGGTAAGGCAAAGCAAAATTTTACTGTGGTGTATTAAAAGACTGTACTCTGCCAAGGACATATTTGTTTCCCTAATTTGAAATTAAATGTATTTTATTCAATATTTTTTGTTCCTGTGTTTTATGAAATCGAAGGAATTGTGTGATGTTCAGCTGAAAATTTCACTCCTTCACTTCACTGTTCTCTAATATTTTTCAACAAAACTACAGAGGCTTAGGCAGGGCTCACAGCAAGGGATTTTGCACAGATGTTGGAAAGAGCTTAAAGAGCAGGAAAATGTTTGTGACTAATCCTTCATCTATATTTAGACTCTGGCAGAAACACAGGAGTATTTCATAGAGGAGAGATAAGGTATAATGTCTAATAAAATTGCAAAAATAAACTGTACTAAACAAGTAATGTAAACAGTTATTTTTAATGACTGCTGTATTACATAAATGTGTGGAGACCAACTGACACATTATTGTATCAGGAGCCCCTTCTGTTCTAAGTTCAGGTGAAAGATGATATTTAGCCTTTCATAATGGAGCTTTGCATCAGCATGATTTATATCATTTTTTTTAATCCAGGAACCTTTTGTCTAGGGTCCTGTGCTGTGACTGAATGGTATCACCAACAAAATATGAACCTTTATCAACCATACCTTAAGAGAGAAATATGTAATATGTGTTGATGTAGGTGAAAGCTAATTAATTGCAGAACTGCTGGTATATTATCTTATTTTTGAGTGCAGCATTCATTACAGCATTGATCATATTACCTAATTGTATTTCTTTCCTAGTACCAACAGTTGCCTACATCACTAACTGTAACTCTTAGAGGTATTTTTAATGGAGCTGGTCCGATTAATTTTCCAGGTTCATTTCTCAAGTTTTTTTGTGAAAGAATGCATTTTTATTGTCCTTAAAGTAGTTATTAACAGAAATATGAATTAATTCTATTGCAAAACTACCACTATCAACACTGACAGTGAATTTTTCCTAATTTTTATTCTTTTGGAATGTATTACTTTAGGAATAATAGTGATTTTTTCGGAGGCACTATTCTTTCTTACAAATGTTTTCAGAACCAAAGGAGAGCTATTTCCAGTACAGTTCCATGAATGAGTAAGATTATTTAGACATAGTAGTACATGGACTTTGGACTTCAGTTCCTTATGTATTTATTGAATATCCTTCTTAGCTTTTGAAATACTAGTGATTTTTGCAGGAAGAGAGGGAGTGAGCTTTACTTATATTTCTTCCATAAACTTGT